AAGACCAATAATCTGACTTATGTATGTATACAGAGTACAAAAATAAATGTTCTCTTTGTAAATATATGCAACGTTATTTGACCACTTTCAAGAATTCAGCTTAACAAGAAGGTTAAAACTATTGTGTTTATAGAATTCATGATGGAAATTAATATGTTCTTAAGAAAGTCAGATGTTCAGAGTGTTATTAGATAATTAGAAAATTCCAGGTAAGTTAAAAAGTGTTATGCTTTTAAATATATATGGTTAAAAATTATATTAATAACTGATTCTATAATAAAAAATTATAAATAATAGTAAATTTTACTAATAGCCAAGAGCAAGTTATTTACCTGTCAGTTCATCTGTGTCTTTATAAAATGAAGGTTGGGCAATATTGCTTCTGAGTTACAAAATAGCATTTCATCAGGGAACACATATCAGCATCACCAAATTCTTTTACTATGAATTGTGTTAAGCTGATAATCAGTGCAGTTGAAATTGTATTGTGCACCAAGCCCATTTTTTCAGCCCAAGTAGAAAAAGTTGCCTTGGACTGATAAGCCTCAGCGTGAGAGGCAGTCATCTTGACAGTTGGAGCTTTCCTTGCTTGAGTGTCCCTGGCTTGCTACAAAATCTTTTCTTAGAGGCAGGGGCTTCCCCTGTGTTGCTATCTGTTATATCGCTGGTTCCAAGTAGAGTGCCTAGCACATGAATAAATGCTCAATAATTAAATATTTGTTGAATGAATGAAATACAACCTGGTGCATTTACACACATTGTCTGATGCAACCTTCACAGCCGACCTTATAATGCCAACCTTGTAATATAAAATACAAGCCTACCTTATAATACAAAAAACTCAGGTTTGTGGTTGAATAAACTGACATAGATGCTTAGTCACTTGTTTAAAGCCCAGAGGTAGGAGCTGCCTCTTCAACAATGTCACTTGTAAAATTTTACCATTTAAAAAAAATATTCTTACTGATTTTAGAGCGAGAGAAAAGGAGAGAGAGAGAGACATCGATGTGAGAGAAACATTGATCGGTTGCTTCCCCCACAAACCTGCAACCTAGGCATGTGCCCTGACTTAAACTGGTGAACTCTTGGAAGCTCCGGACAACACTCAACCAACTAAGCCACACCGGCCAGGGCCATTTTAACCATCTTTAAGTGTCTAGATTAAATCTATTCACAGTGTTGTGCAAGTATCACCATCATTTATTTTAGCCTGTGCCTTTTTCCTCCACTGTTACACTGCCTTCCTTTGTTCTTTCAACCATCTGAAATCAGATTAAAGCCTCTTTTTTGTTGTTGTTGTTGTTTGTTTGTTAAGTCAAAAAGGAACCTGGAAGTTTAAACTTTCAGGCTGGACTGAATACTGAGTCTGTGTTTTAACTTTCTCATCTCGTCAGTCAGCTCTGTTTCATGTAGAGTTCCTTATCCTATATAATAAAAAGCTAATATGCAAATTGTCCCCTCCACCGGGCGTTTAACCTGGAGTTTGATCAGGGGGTGGGGCAGGCCAGCCAACCAACCACCCGTGGGCCCCCCCCCCCCCAGTTGGTTAATAATAGCTGAGTATGTTGTTTTGAATGGGAATACATGCTATCATGTCTACTTGTTCTTACACTGAATTGGGGCTGTTTGGTCTATTCCTGCTGTTTCTTGACCCAGTGAGTCAGTGATCAAAATGGCGCAGAGGAGCCACACACCCACATTTTGAGCTGTGTACCTCAGAGCACCACTGGGCTGAAGTCCACTCTCCACTGTGTACTTGGGAAATGAATTTGCTTGGTCATCCTCCCTCCTGCTTTCTGCCAGGAGTCCAGTTCACTACTTTCAGTTTCACTTTGGGCTTTAAAAATCTTTCTCTGTCTGAATTACTTATAGGTACAAATAAGGAGTTTGATGCTTGGCTGTGGGATGAATTGAGATGTGTGCAAGATTTGAGGAGGGGAATGAATCTGTCTATGGAGAGTTGCTGGACTTTTCAACTTGTGTTTCTGCTGCAATGGTCTCAAAGTTCTGTCTGATGCCAGGCAGAGCCAGAGATGAAATATGACACATACTGGGGATGAGAATTGGCATTTGGTCCTGAGTGCACAGTGTCTTCCCTCCCAAGTGTATTTTACAGCCAAGTGAATAGAAAATAAGTCAGCAGGCTGCTTGCTGGAGACTTGAAGCAGGAAAATGATCTTAAAAAAAAATCCTTATCAAGGACATGATTGAAGAGAGGAGGAGATGGTGAGGAAGGGAGGGAGAGAGAGAAAGAAAACCGGTCGGTTATCGGTTGCCTTCCTTAGTTGCCTTCTATATGCTTCCCTGACGGGATCAAACCCACAACCCAGGTATGTGCCCTGACTGGGAAACAACCTTTCAGTGCATGGGAGGATACTGAACCACTCTGGCCAGGCAGAAAAAATGATCTCTATAAAAAGTTTTCAGAAGAACAAAATGGAAATGGCTTATTTTTATCGCCCGCCAGTCCCTAAGTGAAAGGCTGATTCTGGATGTATTCCTAAGTCCATTTGTGGGAAGGAGAGGCGGGCTTCCCCAAGATTGACCAATCATATATTCTTCACTTTGGATCACAGTCAGCTGGATCAGGAAGTTGCAGGGTGACTAAAGTACAAGCCTTCCCATTGAATGAATAGTCAAGCAAATGGACCCAGTTTGGCCCCCGGCCCAGCATTGCTCCATGTAAATTTTATCTAGCACACAAAGAACTGGCTCACAGCTGGTGGTGGTGTAATTCCAGGCATTACTGACTAATATAGCAGGCCACCATTGCATGACCTGAGGTGGCTGCTCTAAATATAGCCAGCCTTTCTGGCTGATGCAAACACCTGGAGGAGCAGGCAGGCCCCCAGCAGAAAAAGTATTTGCTATTGATAGCATGTCTGTTGAACATTAGACTATGTACTATGTCAGACCTTATTTCATGCTACGTTTATGCATAATTAAAGACAATTCACTGGATCCATTGGCTTATGGTTGGGTTATGCTTAGCAAAAAATGCAATTTATGTTGTTGCCTACTGTGGGGACTAGGAATGATGTCACTAGTTTGAGTAAGACCATAGGAGAAGCAGTTAATTACTGACAATTTCTTTTCTCTCTCTAATGAACAGGGCTTACTTAAACCACTTTAGTGGCCTTTGGTTTCTGGCACTGATATACCAAGCTTTCAGTCATGTGATTCGGTTCAGTAAGGGACTCTTGTTTGTGTGCTTGGTAGTTCCTTCTGACATAAGGGGTTTGTGAGTAATTAAAAAGAACACCAACATTTACAAAATGGTGCTTCCAAAAAAGAAACTACAAATGTCTCATAAACATGTAAAAGATACCCTCTCTCACAAAAGGAGAAAACCATTTTAAGACCTCATTGAGATCTTATTTTTTACCTATCAGATTGACAAAAATCCAAAATGTTGGAGAATTACTGTTGATGAGCAAGTAGGGAAATAGACACTCATACATCCTTGGTGGGAGCATTCATTAAATGAATAACTTTTATTGAGGGAAGTTTAGATTTTATATATATATATATGTATGTATGTCACGTTCAAAGGCTGTTAAATTGCGTTGTTTACCCATATCTTCAGAAAAAAATCGCTTCTGTCATGGTAAACAACCTGCTTCCCTATTTATAATGGTCTGACCCTCTAGCAACTTCAGCATGAAATTATAGCTAATTTGCCTACAAATGTCAGGTGGTCATAATAATCTGGCCACTCAGTGTATATTAAAACCATAAATATATACCCTTTGACCCAGCAGTATCATTTAGAGGAATTTATCCTATAGATACACTTGCTGAGTGCATAAGCTTATTTATGGAAGAATTAAAGCTTGGAAACAGTCTCAAAAGTGGACTGGTTACATAAATAATGATGTATCTATAATGGACACAGATCTAAAAAACAGTAAGGATATTCATTATGTACTGATATAGAAATGTCTTCATGGTACAGTGTTGAGTGAATAAAGCAAAGAGCAGTGTCTAATATATTGCTATGTGTATAAAGAGGGGTGAAATAATATATATTATTTGTGCATAAGGAAGTTCTGGAAAGATATTTAAAGTTATATAAATATCTGGAAAGATTTAAAGTTATTCTGTGTGTGTAGGAAAGAAGAGATAAGATGGGTATTTTTCACTATATGAAACTTCTTAAACCATGTGCATATATTGCTTTAAAAAAAAATTAGAATGTTTTAAAAAGTGGAGCTGCTTTGACTTTCAGTCATAGTTGCCAGAGGAGTTCTCTTTTAATTGACTTGCTGTACCCATACTTGCTATCCTTGTGGGTAAGAGGGAAATTTCCTCATATTGTAGCTCAGTGGTTCTCAACCTGTGGGTCACGACCCCTTTTGGCGGTCGAACAACCCTTTCACAGGGGTCGCCTAAGACCATCCTGCATATCAGATATTTACATTACGATTCATAACAGTAGCAACATTACAGTTATGAAGTAGCAACGAAAATAATTTTATGGTTGGGGTCACAACATGAGGAACTGTATTTAAAGGGCCAGAAGGTTGAGAACCACTGTATGTAGCTGATGGTGATAATAGCTGATGGTGATAATATTTGTTGCCTCCTAAAATTTTACTCGTTTTTTATTTAGAGAGAGGAGGAGAGGGAGGGAGGGGGAGAGAGAGAGAGAGAGAGAGAGAGAGAGAGACAGAGAGAGAGAGAGACAGAGAGAGACATCCATGCAGCGCCCCAACTGGGGATTGAACCTGCAATCCTGGTATGTGCACTACTAGGTGTACGGGACTACATCTGACCAACTGAGCTATACTGGTCAGGGCAATGTTTGTTGCTTTTTATGTGGGCACCTTGGGAAGAAAGTGGTGCACAAGTTTGTTGGTTCTGGTGTTTTTCCTGTTGTTCCTCAACCAAAATCAATGGCTATTACAAACCCTAAGAAACTGGCTTATTCCTTTTGTTTGACAATTAGGATGATATGCTGTAGATAAGACTGAATCTTTATCTTTTCTCTTTATTTGTAGGAACCTACAAGCAGCAATTGGCGCCTATTATGACTTCGAGAGCCCAAACATCAGTATGCCCTCTATGTCTTTTGTTGAAGATGTCACCATCGGAGAAGGGGAGTCGATACCTCCTGATACTCAGTTTATAAAAACATGGCGGATCCAGAATTCTGGTAAATGTATAATTGGCAATTCTCCTTGTCCAGTTTTCTCTTTCTTAGTAGTTAAAAGAAATAAATGTTTTACAAATGTGAATGTGTTTCTCAGATTTTTCTTACACATGGTGTAGCATTTCTTGTACTGATATGATGACCTAACATCAATGAAATAGTCCCTACCCTAGATTAGGAAGAACAATTTTGGTCTTGATGGCACCTAAAGAATTCAGTATTCATTTGACCGCAGGAACTAGGCCTGTGTGTGGTGGTTCTACCCCATCACTTTAATTCTGCTCTAGTTAATCTCCAGTTATTTCCAGCAGGCTAGAGGAGGTACAGCCATGAATAGAACAAGGTGGGTAGAAAGAGCTGTGAGCATCTGCTCTTTTGAAAGCTCATTTCTTTACAACCACATGATGATTCTGTTTGAAATTTCACTGAGATATCTGAAACATTAATACCACTTTGAAAAACAGAGTAAGAAGTATGGGGATTTGCTCATTTGGGAAAGATGGAAAGATTGAGAAATTGTTTTTTTTAAACATTGTTTTGATATATTGCCTACTTTAAGAAAGATTAAAATTAAGCTAACCATAGTTCTTTGAAAATAGTATCTGAATATGTATCTGGTAACTGTTAATTATTACCTTTTAATTGGTAAATTATTTTCTAATGACTTTAATATTGAATGGATTTAGTTAGTATTCCTTGTCCCATCCAATAACAGTTTATGCTGACTGGATGAGAATGCTTTAACATCCTTGTTATTAATGAGACAGAGAAATTCTGAGGGATGGAAATCTAGGCAAAAGGATATTTAGTTAAAAATTGGTGGTTGTGGGAAAACGCTAGCTAGCAAGGTAATTGATAGGAGATGCTGTAAACTTCTGGGGGCTAAAACCCTATAAAAGTGAGTTTTTATTGACTACTTTTCAGTTCTTTATGTTTCTTTTATGACTGGAAAAGATTGGCTAAGCTAGATTTTTATATAATAACTAATGTACCAGGTTGTTAATCTTAGTTTTTCTGGTTTATTTAGAAGTAACTTTCCCTTGGATGCAAGTTCACTGTGTCACGGAGCAAACACATAATTTGGATTGACCTAGTGTTATAGATGACGAGACATCTGTGGCTATGTGAAATTCTCATTGGCTTCTTTTCTTTTCCCTTTTAGTTGTAACAAACATTGTTAGTTTGAGAGGCACATGGTAATATAAGAAAATACCCATGTTTTCTATTTTCTTGAAATTCTTACTTGTTTGAAGTTTGATTATCTTTGCCTAATTTCTTTCTTAATATGCTGTTTTTTAAAAAATATTTTTATTGATTTCAGAGAGGGAGGGAGGGAGAGGGAGAGAATCATTGATCAGCTGCCTCCTGCACACCCCCTACTAGGGATTGAGCCCGAAACCCTGGCATGTGCCCTTGACCAGAATTGAACCCTGGACTCTTCAGTCTGCAGGCCGACATTCTATCCACTGAGCAAAATCAGCTAAGGCTTGCATGCTTTTAATAATATGAAAAAATCTCTTTAGTCAGCTTCTATTCATTTCCCCATAGGAGAAATCATTGTAGTATTACTAAAACCTGTTGTTATTTATCAAAAAATGCTTTGAAAGTTACACATGAAATTTTTAAATGAGTGACACTTGTTTAGAAATTATGAACTATTCAAAAGTTTTAAAAAATTAATCTAAGACCTTGTTTACTTATAGTGAAAATGGTCTGGCCTTCCATGAGTTTGTTTTAGTGCTTTTAAATATTGAAAGTTATTAGAGTACTGTTGAAATATTTTAAATGCTACCTTGTTGCAGAATAACCATTTTATATTTTAGAAAACCTCTTTTTTTTTTTTAAATATATTTTATTGATTTTTTACAGAGAGGAAGGAAGAGAGATAGAGAGTCAGAAACATCGATGAGAGAGAAACATCGATCAGCTGCCTCCTAGTAAAAATGGTCTGGCCTTCCATGAGTTTGTTTTAGTGCTTGACCGGAATCGAACCTGGGACCCTCCAGTCCGCAGGCCAACGCTCCATCCACTGAGCCAAACCGGTTTTGGCTTTAGAAAACCTCTTGATATATCTGCTCATTCACTAGACAGTCACTTGGATTAATAGGAGGGTTTGGGTGGATTGACATAAAATGGCTAGAACGTAAAATCAGAACCCAAAAGCGCCTGCCTTTCACTCTGATTTGGAAAAAATCTGTATTGGCGAGCCTGACTGCCTTTTCCTCCTGTTTTTATATAGTAACTCCAGTTTAAAACAGCTTCTGGGTCTGCAGCCTTTTTTCTGTAAAAGGCATTTTTGTTCTTGAACACCTCTTGCAAAGTTGGGCAACAGTTGCTAGAGATTTTATCCTTCAAGGTACTTTAAACAAATAGTTTTTTTTATTCTTCTGGAATTTGTTCAGCCAGTCATAAAATAGTTTTCTATCTATAAGCTAAATGCTTTCCATTTGATTAAGGAGAACCTGGTATCCTAAAACTGACAGGTGTGTTATTAAAGAGAGGAAAAGTGCGCATGTGCACTGGTTCTTTGGCATCATCCTAATCTGGCCTGACTTCTATCTGGAACTAGAGTAGTAACACAGAAGTAGGGCAGGCCTTTGCTGTTTCTCCTCTGGCACTCTTACTCTCATTCATAATCTTCCCTAAGAGATGGTGCTCACTGAAAGTTTCATAAATAATTTTCATGATTCTTCTCTGCTGTCATGTTTTAGGCATGCCAGGCATTCAAATATACAACAGAAGAGATTAATAGGAACTGCACATAGTTGTCTCAGCAGCTTCTTCAAAGAAGATAAATGTCACACATTGTTTAAAATTAAACTCCTAATACTGTTTAAAAATTCTTTTATTTAGAACACAGAAAAACAGAAGTGAGACTTTTAATGACATAGATACAAAATCCCATGATCCAAACTTTGTCACTATTTATATGTTAGAAGCTTGGGAAACTTGAGCAGGAAACTACATTGGAGTTTAAAGTGAAAATTTGAAACTGTCCCTTAAAGATGAATGTAGACAATACTCTTTACCAACACATACAGCTAGCTTCTCAGTTGTTGCAACCATGCTCTGTTGTCCAAGTGTAGTGAATGTTAAGCATGTAGTGATAGCTGCGGTGTTTCTCTGACTTTGTGAAGTAGATATGATTGTCATATGAAAGTGCCATTAGAGGCATCTTTATTTTTGAACTACATAGAAGTGAATATAAAAGAGTTGGGAGAAGAACTTGAGAAAGAATAAATAGTCCTCCATTTTTCTTTTGGCTCCTTAAAATACTAAGCTTTCTACCTTTCTCTTCAGTATGATTATAGAGTTCATTCTGCTTCATTCATTCAACAAATTTTTATGTTCTAGTCAATTTATTAGGTACAGGGGAAAAATGGTGACAAAATTAATGAAGGTTCCTGTTTTTATGTCACTTAATTTGAAATGTAGTCTTTAAATTTATAGGAGTTAAGAGAATAGGCGATCCTTACTGAGATTTGTTGACTTCTGCATTGCTCTTTGAATGTTCCTTACTGTCTCCAAACACTTTCTATAATCACATACCGAGTAAGTCCCAGGCTTTCTGGAACTGACTGACTTTTATTTCATGTTTGCCATACTCTCCATCATCTCACAATCACAATATAATATAATTTTTTTTTTTACTTTTTATTTTTTTTAAATAAAATTTTATTCCATGACAGCTGAAGAATCACAGCCTTAATCATATGCAGGCTTGTGACACTTATCTTGGAAAGTCATAAAACACAGATTAGTCTTTCTTATAAATATATTCATCCCCCATTAAGCCAGTTTGTAACAGACTTAATTTGAAACCTGTTGTATTATGCTACTCAAATCCTGGTTTCAGTTATACTTAGCCAGGTGGCCCAAATGGCTTACCCTTCCTTCTGTATAAGAATCAATATCTTTGACTTTTTCAGAATCACCTGACGTAATGGTTGGGGCTATAAGAACTGTATGTCATAGTGATTTATTGGTAACTCTCCGAAGGCAGATGATGGTTCTTCAGTTCATAATAAATTAACACTTTATAATGAATTAACACTTTAAAGTTGATGGTAGATGCTCTTCCAGTTTTTTTTTTTTTTTTCAAGAGGCTCTCTAACTACAACATCAATAGGATATCTAGCATACTAAAAAGATCAGGACTGTAGCTACATAAATTAACAATCATTTAATGTTTTACCAACTTAGTCTCCCTGGACAGCCAAGTATTTCCCATACTTGGTTTTCCTTATTTTCTTAGAGGTTCAAAAACAGACACATTCTTGGATTTTCATATAAACAGACATTGTCTTGTTACAGGGGTGTGTGTGTGTGTGTATGTAAAAGAATAATTGTGAATTCAGCCTTATAACAGTAGTTTAATTTCCCTCTTGGATCTTGGTCTTTAAAGAAATCAACATTTTCCAAGATGCTTAATGTCAGCTGCTACTACTCTTGACGTAAGATAGATATGCTTTTGCCAGGACATAGGCCCAGAAATGAAAAACAGAATTTGCATATATTACCAGTGTATCACTCACAACTTTTGCACCAGCTACAGTTGCTTTCTGCAGTGTATACTTAAGAGGATACTTTGCTGGCAGGTTTTGTGTGTGTGTTTTTAAGAAGTTGGGACAAAACATACTGCTACTGTTTCATTTGTTAGCCTTTCAGATCCAAGAGCCACAGAGGAAGCTGCTTATTATGGGGCTGAGATCTCAGCAGTAGACACTGGTTGCTTTCCTCTCTGGTTCTCTTTTCAGTAGCAAGCCATCATGTATAATAGAAACACCCAGACAGTTCTAGAACAAGGTAGTGAAGCATCCTAGAATACTGTCAGGAGGTAAATTTCAAGCATGATGTGTCCTGGGAGCCCTGCCATATTAACCTTTTCATAGTGGTTTATTTGTATAATGAATGTATAGATTCCTCAAAAAGAATATATAAGGGTTTCTGTCTAGAGTAAAAAGGAAGGTATTGGAGAGACTTCACAGGAAAAATCATATCTAGTCAAGATGTGGCTACCTATGACTAGCTAGATCAAGCCAATAGATAGATTTCTCATTTGCATTAGTTTACATGAAAATAGATACACAGGAGTAGGTACCAAATACGATCTTTGCCACTTTCAAAAGAGGAAAGACATTCCTGCAAAGCCATTTCTCTGTATTGACATTCCTGTCCTCTGGCTGGTGTCGTCACACACACTTCATTGTGTTGTTGTCAGGGAAGTTTATCGCACTGTTCATGTTTTCCCCATTACAGGTTGAACCTGCACATGAAACTTTCACTTGACACCTCTTTTAAAAATTATTTTTATTTTAGTCCTTACACTAGGATATGTTTTTAATTGATTTTAGAGGGAGAAGAGGGGAGAGGGTGAGATAGAGATACATTGATCCGTTGCTTCCTGTACGTGCCCCAACCAGGGATTGAACTCACAACCTAGGTGTGTGCCCTGACCAAATTGAACCTACAACAGTGATGGTGAACTTTTTGAGCTCGGTGTGTCAGCATTTTGAAAAACCCTAACTTAACTCTGGTGCCGTGTCACATATAGAAATTTTTTGATATTTGCAACCATAGTAAAACAAAGACTTATATTTTTGATACTTATTTTATATATTTAAATGCCATTTAACAAAGAAAAATCAACCAAAAAAATGAGTTCGCATGTCACCTCTAACACGCGTGTCATAGGTTTGCCATCACTGACCTACAACCTTTCGGGTGCACAGGATGAATGACACTTAACCACTTTAGCCACTCTGGGCAATAAAAGCAGTTTTGAAATGTAAACAGTGTCATAGAAATTACTTCTTGTGTGTTTCATCCTCTTGCCTGGGTGAAAAAACTGGGAAGAGTCAGACATATTTTTACTATACATTTCAGTTTAAAATGTTAGCGTGAAAATGGCCGTGTGTTACCTATTAGTAGAGAAAGCATCCAAAGATGTGGCCCTGTGCTTGTTTTAATGGCTCTTCACATATATCATGCTGTGTTAATCCTTACCGGAGGATATTTTTCTATTGATATTTTAAAAAAATATATTTTTATTGATTTCAAATAGGAAGGGAGAGGGAGAGAGAGATAGAACATCAATGATGAGAGAGAATCATTGATTGGCTGCCTTCTGCAAGTCCTGTACAGGGGATCAAGCCCACAACTTGGGCATGTGCCCTTGACTGGAATCAAACCTGGGACCCTTCAGTCCACAGGCCGACGCTATATTCACTGAGCCACACCGGTTAGGGCTCCATTGATTTTTAGAGAGAATGGAAAGAAGGAAGGGAAAAGGAGAGAGAGAGAGAGGTAGATAGATAGATGTGAGAGAGACACATGGGCTAATTGCCTCACATGTGTCTTAACGGGCTGGGGATTGAACCTGCACCCCAGGAATTGAACTTACGACCCTTCAGTGCACAGTCTGATGCTCTAACCATTGAGCAACACTGATCAGGGCACATATATCATTCTTAGATTCTACAGATTTAGTCTGATGTATGGCCTCTTCTGGGGTCACTTGAAACACATCTTAAGGAACTGCCTTGCTTTTGCTGTATGTACCCTCTCTTAGGGGTAGACTGTTGGTCAGAGGTTGTTTACTTTGATAATTCCCTCTGATTAGTCATGTGAGATGTTCTATAGCTTAGGGGTATGTGGGTAGGATTACATGTCTGAGAGACAAAGAAAGAGGCTTCTTCTATGGCTTTGTAATGAATTGCACCCAGCAAGGAACCACTGATTGCCTAACATTTTTTTCTTTTGCTTGAACTCAGGGGCAGAGGCCTGGCCTCCAGGGGTTTGTCTTAAATATGTCGGGGGAGACCAGTTTGGACATGTGAACATGGTGATGGTGAGATCACTAGAGCCCCAAGAGGTTGCAGACGTCAGCGTCCAGATGTGCAGCCCCAGCAGAGCCGGAATGTATCAGGGACAGTGGCGGATGTGCACTGCTACGGGACTCTACTATGGAGGTGAGTATGTCCTTGTGCGACCCAGGGTGAAGGAATTAATGTTATATCTTAATGCATCCCCAGTGTTGCTCATAGACCCTGTCAATTACATTACAGGGCATGGCCTCTTAAACAGTCACTCCATGCAGGTGAATGACTTGAATTTAATGACTCTCTGGTTCAATCTAGTGCTTTCCCTTTTACACTAGGATTTTACTTAAAATTTAGTGAATTATATGGGATATATCTTGCATTCTAAACAGTGATTTAGTAATGTTGCTGTTTTTATTATATAATCTAGTAGGTACTATAAGAACATTGAAGGCAGTCTTTGTTTACAGAATATCTAGACACAAGTCATATTAAAAAAGATAACGTACAAAATGTGCATACTTCTGCCTTGGCCGGTGTGGTACAATGGTTGGAGTGACGACCCGTGGACTGAAGGGTCACAGGTTCGATTCCCAATCAAGGACATGTACCTTGGTTATGGGTTTGCTCTATGCACCAAGTGGGACGTGTGCGGAAGGCAGCTGGTCTATGTGTCTCTCACGTCAGTGTTTCTATCTCTCCCCCTCCCCCTTCCACTCTCTCTAAAACATCAATGGAAAAGTATTCTTGGGTGAGGATTAACACACAAAAAAATGTGCATACTTCCTTCAACCTGATGACCTGTCAAGCTGCTAATGCCTCTCACACCTTTATAGCCAAACTTTCTGAACAAAGTGATCTATACTCACCATCTTGGCTTTCTGTTTTCCATTTATTCTTCAACCCAATCTATTCCTTTTATAAAATTTTCTTTTAAAAAACAACAATACATTTTTTACTGATTTTTAGAGAGAAAGAAGAGAGGAAGGGAGAAAGAGAGAAACATTGATGTGATAGTGAAACATTGGACAGCTGCCTCCTGCATGCACCGTACTGGGGATCGAGCCCAAAACCCCAACGCATGTGCCTTGACCAGGAATCGAACTGACAGCCTTTCAGTGCATGGGATAACGCGCAACCAACTGAGCTACACTGGCCAGGGTTCAACCCAATCTGTTCTTTACCCACTCCAATTAAATGTTTATCAGTGATAAACCAGTTACCAGATCTAGCAGTCTTCATACTAACTAATCTTGTATCATTTGGCACCATACTCTAAAACTTTTTTGAAAGTGTACCTTCCTAAAGCCACATAATACCTCTTGTTTCTCTTTCCCCCTGAATGTTCTTGCTCTGTCTCTGTCGAGTCCCATCTTTGCCTTAAGATTACTAGATTGTGCTGAGCTCCGATCATGCTCAGTGACCTCATCTACCCACATGGTTTCCGCTCTCACCAGTACAGCATTCATGGTGATGCTCAAATTCATATCTGTGGCTGCAAACTCTTTTTGGTGCACCAAACCTGTGTTTTAACTGTTTATGGACAAACACTTGGATATTCTGTAGATTTCTGAATTTTAACATCTCCCAGGCAAACTTACATTCTTCTCATTGGCACCTCAGTGAGATGATCAGGCCTGAAACCCTTGAGTCATCTTTTTTTTTTTTTCTGTGTAATTATACTTAATCACAGATCAATCCTTATTGGTTCCATTATATCCCATGTCCTGGAAATCCAAAGAAAAAGAAATAGGAAATAGTTCTTCCCCTCAGGGAGCTCTTTTTAAAAATATATATATATATTTTCATTGATTTCAGAGAAGAAGGGAGAGGGAGAGAGAGTTAGAAACATCAACGATGAGAGAGAATCATTGATTGGCTGCCTCCTGCACTACTCTGACTGGGGATCGAGCCCGTAACCAGGGCATGTGCCCTTGATTGGAATCGAACCCGGGACCCTTGAGTCCACAGGCCCAGGCTCTATCCACTGAGCCAAACTGGCTAGGGCTCCTCAGGGAGCTCTTAACTGGCATTGGGGCCCTTGGTGTTATTTGAAGGAAACCTGGAATTAATGTTCTCTTATGTTTTGACAGGCAGTGGAAACTTTAAATACTTTTACGGCCTCAAACTGTTTAGCCCTGTTTGGTTTGGCTCAGTGGTAAGAGTGTCCACCTGAGGATTGAAAGGTCCTGGGTTTGATTCCCGGTCAAGGGCACATATCAGGGTTGCAGGTTCGATCCCCGGCCCTGGTCGGGGTCCATACGGGAGGCAACCAATTGATGTGTCTCTTTCACATCAATGTTTCTCCCCCTTTCTCCCTTCCACTCTCTCTAAAAATCAATGGGAAAAACCCCCTCTGGTGAGGATTAACAAATCAACAAAAATGGTGATACATGTCTTACTTATTTTTGTAACTTTTCAAAAAGCTGAGCCCAGTGCAAAGCAGAGAGTGGCTTCTTAATAGATTTTTTAAAAATTGATTTTAGAGAGCGGAAAGTTGGGGGAAGGGATGGTGAGACATTGATTTGTTGTTCCACTTATTTATGCATTCATTGGTTGCTTCTTGCTTCTTGTATGTGCCCTAACCCAGGATCGAACCTGCAACGTATTGGGATGACGCTTTAACCAACTGAGCTACCCAGGCAGGGCTGATCAGTGGATTTTTAAAATGAATATTAGCATTTTTAAGGGAGGGGGAAGATAACACATGACTTATTAAAAAAAATCCCTTTGATGCAAAGATACTGCTTCTTGGTGTTCTCCAGTGTTCCAGAGTGCTAGTCCTGTTTTGTGAATTTGTTTTTAGTGTTAAATTGAAAATAATTATCAGTATTGGGACATTCAATTTGTACTTGTAACATCTCTTTCAAATTCTAGAAGTAGGTAGAGTATAAATATACTAGCTTTGGAGGCAGTAAAATATTTAAAGCCTTTCTTGGTCATGTAGTCTGTGAGTTGTTTCTCAGGACTTGATGGAATCTAAAAGTTTTAAGGGATCTTAATAATTTGTCTGGTTCCATGATTTTCTAGGTTTTTTTCTTAATCAGTGGAATCCTTTCCTTGATAGTAGCATACGTGAATGCCCCTTCAAATAAGGGGAAAAGATAAAAATGAAACTGGTTTTGTTGAATTGAAAGCTTCCTTAGCCTGTTCTGCTCCCTGTCTGAGGTGACCCACCGTCAGGGCTCTGTGGTGTGTAGTTTGCAAACTCTTTATCTGTTTTAGCAAGGAATTTAATTTCATTTTACAAACTTACTGTATTTCATTGAGTTTAGATTACTGATGATTATAAAACACACCCTGATAGCAGAGGTGTTAAGTGACTGGCAGAAAGTGCATATAATATACATAAAAACCACAACTAAGAATACATGAAAAAAACACACAAAACACCTGCCATGTTACTCATGATTGGCTCTTCCTAGTTTTTCTTGCTCATTCTTAGCTTGTTAGCTCATTGAGCGTAGTGTGGTGGTAAAAATACAGAATGTAGAACCAGGTTGCCTGGGCATAAACTTGGACAAGTTAGGTAATTCTCTGTACCTCATCTTTCTGTTTTAACAACAAAGCTTGTATTTTTTTGTTTTGTTTTTGGTGGGGTGGTCTCTATAGTATTTAGACCAGCGGTTCTCAACCCATGGGTCGCGACCCCTTTGGGGGTCGAACGACCCTTTCACAGGGGTCACCTAAGACCATCGGAAAACACATATATGATTACATATTGTTTTTGTGATTAACCACTATGCTTTGATTATGTTCAATTTGTAACAATGAAAATACATCCTGCATATCAGATATTTACATTACGATTCATAACAGTAGCAAAATTACAGTTATGAAGTAGCAACGAAAATAATTTTATGGTTGGGGGTCACCACAACATGAGGAACTGTATTAAAGGGTCGCGGCATTGAAGGTTGAGAACCACTGCTTTAGACGGTCTTCTCTAGAAAGAATCCATTCTTATTTTTTATAATAATACTTACGGTGTTTCAGCTAATTTCTCTTCCTCAAAAGGAATTTTTGCTATATTAAATAATTTGCACATGGGTTCCCTTTCCCCATTTTAGGTTGATTGTGCTCTCAGAATTTCTCAGGGGGGGTGCAATTGGCATGTTGTGTGGATAGTTCTTCATGATGTGGGCATATTTATAAGACCCTTGGCCCTCTCTCACTAAATACCTGTAATTTCACATGTTCATCTTTACAACTGATCCCCCCCGCACCCCGCCCCCCCCAACACATATCTAACTCCCTTGGTTGAGTAGCTCTAAGTATCTGATTCCTAATAGATACATTTTCAAGCCCAAACATTTTATTTTATCTTCTTTTTATGGATTTTTGCTTCTTAGATAAAAGCAATGTTATCTAGTACCTACTGTATATCAGGCATTGTACTGGACTTTTTACATATAAATTACCTTATGAAGGAAGTACTAACTGCATTTTATGGAGTTCTCAAGGAAACTTTGCCTCCAGGTTGTTGATGCTTGTTAGGGTTTAGGGAGGGAGTCTTCTCTCCACTACCAGACTGAGGGGGACTGAGGGTGGGGTTGAGTTTGGCAGGGCCTCTCTTAGGTAGTGGGGTAAATATCAGTTTTCTCCCAAGGAGTTCCTGCCTGCTAGGAGATACACAGTACCTATAGAACACTTGGCTCTTGGGAAGAAGAGCATGAGTGGTTATCCCTATTTTAGCCTTGGTGCCAGCGGTAATATGCCTGCCCTGTTCCTAGTGGAGTGCCCTTTTCCAAAATTCTACAAGAGAGATTTACCCCTGCACTGTGATACTTTCCTACGAATCATAGGGGTCCTAGTTCTGAAGTAAGCTAAGGTCATACTCTTTTTTTTTTAATATATTTTTACTAGAGACCTGGTGCACAAACTCATGCACCAGTGGGGTTCCTTGGCCTGGCCTGCGGGATTGGGCCAAAACCAGCTCTCTGACATCCCCTGAGGAGTCCCGGATTGCGAGAGGGCACAGGCCAGGCCGAGAGACCCCACTGGTACACGATCAATCAGGGCCAGGGAGGGATGCAGCAGGTTGGTCAGCCGGGGAGTGACCATGGGAGGGCTCCAGGGCATGCCTGGCCTGTATTGTTCAGTCCTGATCAGCTGGACCCCAGCAGCAAGCTAACCTACTGGTCAGAGCG